ATTGTGTGAGTAATCATGAAAATAGACATTCATAATTGGACACAAGAACTTCAAACAGTATCTTTTTTTTCTTTTTTTTTCCCATGGTAGGAAAAGTGGTTTTTTTTTTTCAATGTTGTGTATCTTTCATTAACGATTTTTCTTTTTTTTTTTGGGAATTCCTCAATTAACAAATTTGTTATACAATAGCATTAGGCAATATGAAATTGTAGAAGCCTTTGCGGAATCCATAACCATGTAACTGTGCGGCAGGGGTTAGTAATCCTTTCATTTGCTCGACCTTCTGTTTGTATTTTTCAAAGAGATTACAAAACCTGTGGAAAGATGCCTTCGGTTCTATTAACAAATTCCCCTATATAAGATGAATCATTTAATATCATTATCATTATCAAAGCTACTTTTCAACTATTTGAGATCTATTATATGAATCATGTTCTACCATTCTGCTCTATCAAAGGCCATAGCCACAGTAAGGCCATAAATCCTTCATATATTTTTTCATTACTATGTCATTTTGGGCATTTTTTTTTTTAGTCTTCTACTTAAACCAATTCGCACTTTCTAACATGTCTCAAATTGGGTTTGCGCATTACATGCTTAGCGCACCTAAGTCTACATTTTCTTATCTAATTGCCTATTAGAGCCACACTTAAATTCTCTTGAATATATTTATTTCGAATTTTATCTCTTCTTGTCTTGTCACTTTTACCCATCTCAACATCTTCATTTTAGCTATACTCATCATTATAGACATGTTGTTTTTTGACTGCCTACCTAATTGATCATCTTGACATTAATATGTATGAATATGAAAAAAAAAAAAAAAACAAACATTTTGAATCCCAAAAATAGTGTATCTTGCAACATATTATCTAGGCTCTCCATTTTCAATTTTCATATATTTATATATCTATTTGATTTTAACTATTTTTTTAATTTAATTTTTTCTAATTAAATATGAAAATATATTTTAAGATAATCCTAAAAAAATTTTACAACGAAATTACTTGTTATGATAAAATTTAGAAATACGTTTAAGTTGAATTATTTAAGGTATATATATATATATATATAAACGTACACATTTATGTAGATACTTTTATATTGTATGAACATGTAACATAGTGTAAAAAAGCAAGACACTAAAATAATATATTTCTAATAAGTATTTTGATAAATTTTCCTTCTATTATTAAAAGGTGTGAGATTACACTACTTTCATGCAAGCCTTTGATCCATCCACCACCACTTCTCATTCACAATGCACTCCCCATCCACCCAACTCTCAAAAGTGTAACGACCAGCAATATTACCGTCTCTCTCTATTTATTAACCACCACTCTCTCTCTCTCTCTCTCTCTCTCT